AGCTACACACTTTGCAGATTCGTAAAGTCTTGCTTTAACGACATCTTCTGGGGATTTTGCTTAGTTTACATTCTGTGAGAATTCTGATACACGACGGAGATCAGTGACCCGTAACATTTTACATTTGATTCTGACAACTTATCTTTCGTCGAGTATCTGATTGAAAACCGGTTTTGATTTTCAACCAATAATATCGCTCTAATATCAACGGACCAATCAGTTGCAACATTCAGATCTTGAATGTAAACACTGACATGGAAGTGAGATTCGCTATCCGTGCTGCCAGAGGCTGGTTTACGGTTTGGCCTTCGGCCTCAAGGACGGCGCTTCGCGCCGTATATAAACTACAAGAACGAGTAAATCCAGCCTCTGGTTCCCAGGGTAAAAGGCCGGCAGCTATTCAAAATATCATAAATTTGTTTCTAGATAGGTATATTTTCATTGAGAATTAACAAAATTTGGGTGTTGACTGTTCCTTTAACATCTGGTCTAACCCTTTCTTTTTCGGATATTTGCCACAAGAATAGACTATTTCTGAGTAAAATACATACTCCTCTGTCTCACCATCGGCATTTATCCCGTAATGGTATCATTTGTAGCATGGTATTTTCCCAAGGTTTTCACACGCTCTGCGTATTTGTCAAGATCATTACCGCATTGTTTGAGGACACAGAAGTGATTTCTCTTAGCGCTTGGCAGAAAATCATCTGAAATAACCACACTTTTTAGAATGCCTAGTGCTACAATGACTTTTCACAGAAATTTCTGGAAAGTCTTTTGCATGCTTTTAAGCCCTGCTCAACTGTACACTTGCTCTTATACTCTTTCAAATTATTAGAATGTGCCCTACCCACATGCCCCCCACACAACATAACCCTACTCAGTTGCCCATCTGGGAAAATACACGACTTCCATAACCTCTGATGACGAGCGAAACAAGTTTGCACTGAAACGAGGCCACGAAGGCCTCAAAACCAAAACAAACGTGACTCGCAGAGCGTGATATCGACACTAGACAAAACTATAAGCATTCAATTTCCTAAACAAAGCAAAACTAAGTGACCTTTTAATCGAAAGATTTCAAGCTATTGTTCTAAACTGTATTCAAAAAGCTTCAGGGGCAATGCCCAGTCATTGCTGCATCTATGATTGTA